GCCTCCTACCCTTAATTGGATGGCATTAAGTAATGTCACGTGACGGCAAACGGCAAATGAGGGAATCATCCTTCAAGTGATGCACAATACGGTCCCAAAATGTTGCCAAGTTTCAGCCATCTGTCGTGATTTTCCGTGCCAGGATTAAAGAGCGCGTGGCTATACAATGACCCTCCGCCGAGGTTCTATAAAGCGGCGGAGACGCACTGCCGCTCGTTCGATTAATTAGGTGAACGCGACCCACGGACACACACGCGCACACACCTTGTGCAAACAGATTTGTCCAACAGCATTAAATGAAATGTCTCCTGTATTACAATGTCGCCCCCCCCCCCACGCCATCTAATCAAATACAATTGCCGCACGAACGCCCAACAAATACAATCACAAGTCCACGCAATCCTCTTAAAAGTGCGGATTTTTTTTTAACAGCCAAAAATCTATTAATAAATAAAGCTCAACATATTCTCAATGCGCCGAGTTCGGATGTCCTTGTCCATGGTGCTGAATTACGATGAAGATTAGACTCATCGCCAGCATCAGCTTGTCAATCGCACAGAACAGCATCAGACTAACAAAAGCGTGCGGTTCTTTGTCTTCTTGAAAGCATATGGGGAACATTGATTTGAAGCTTTCGTGACTGCAGGAATCCATACTCTTTGGCTATTTCGGTAAAGTCACGTAGGTAGAAAAGAAAATAAAATGAAATAAATCACGACGTGCATGCTTTCCCACCTGATGACGGACGCTTGTGTTGCGCCCGAAACGTCGTGATTTTATTTATTTTATACCTACGGTGACTTTACCGAAGAAACAAAGAGTACATATGGGGGACATTGCAACTGCGCGAACATCCGCCAGAGGCACTACTGCTTGCACGCAAGTGATGGTGGTGGTGGTACACAACAAGCTTTTGCAAGAAGCGAGCCTCGCAGACGAAACGTGTTTTATTCATTTATTCGTTATATACTTTCGAACACCGTTGTACATCAACACTAGGTCACACGCGTATATTAGTGCAGTGGAGGACTCGGAGAGCAAGTAGTCAAGCTAGTACGGGGAGGGTTGTTCACGTATTGGCGAATTCAGTTTTGCTCAACTTTGCCATGAGAAGCGCACGCGTGGTCTGCAAAGTCAAATTGCGATGCGTCGCCGATTGAACAAAAGCGTTCCTGTGTGTGGCTGTGCTTTGTGTTCATTGTGTAGGCGTGCGTCGGCCTAACACCAGTGACGTTCACCCGAACCGGTCCTTGGCACCGCCGTAGGTCGACTCAGCATCAAAATGAGTACCCTTGTGCGGTGTGCAGTAAACATCGCCGTGAAGGAGACAAAGGCGGTCGGCCGCGATGTTGGCCACCCAACCCCCTTCCCCCCCCACCTCGTGTGCCGTGCCGGCCTTCATAGGTGCCCGCTAACAGCACTTACCCTAAACGCCTAAGGCTATACGGGGGGTCTTTGTCTTTGTAGGCGTGCGTAGCGAGCCGGTGGCTTAAGCGGATGTCGGCACTGATGCTACTGACCCGGCGAACTCGCAGTTCGATTCCCGGCCACGGCTAACATGAGTGCCACGTGACATCGGAACTGGTCCTACGCCTAGGTCGACTCGGCCATCAGTGAGCTCTCGTGCGGTGTACGAACAACAGCACCACACAGGGCGAAAGCCACACCCTGCCCCGCGTGCAGGACTTAATCTGTGCTCGCTGACATGTACGTACGCTGAACTTCTTTCGCACCGTACGTAGCCAACCGGCGGTGCGGGGAGTAGGACAACAAACGAAACGGAACGTCACCCTTCCTCGGAAGCTCGGCGCAGTCTACGCGGGCGTTGAGAGGTCTTTGCGTAAATCGTGTTAAGGGGCCGTCCATAAATGACGTCACGCACCTAGGAGTGGGGGGGGGGGGGGGGTCAGACATTTGTGACGATGTGTGACGAAGGGGGGGGGGGTTGAGAAATGTGACGATACGTTAAAATGCGCAACTTTAAATAAATATAGAATTGTTATAACACCAATTGTTATACTACAACATCAGAGTGCAGCGCACATTAAATACGCACTACAATGACAATAGTTTAAAGCGATTTGAAAGCATGTTTTATTTTAAAAATGGAAATATGGTTTTGGGGGGAAAGGGCAGAGCTTTGTGACGTCATATTCGGGGGGGGGGGGAGGGGGAGTCTGACTTTTTGTGACGCCGTGTGACGAGGGGGGGGGGTCAAAAATCGTCCAAAAAACGCGTGACGTCCATTTATGGACGGCCCCTAAAACAGACTCGCCTTCAGTTCGCCGGGGTTGTCACTTGTCAGCGTGCGACCACTTCCCTTTGGTCGTGCAATGTACTCGACTTAAACGTCTGTGGCAACCGAGACTGTAAGACGTTGCACGACACAACGTTAACAAAAAAGAAACACACAAATCGAAATAAATGTTGACGTATCTCTCGTGGGAACGGGGAAGCGCTACGTGTACCGAGTCTTGGACCTGTCCCACCACTTTTTCTTTCTCACGTCCCACGCCAGACAGATGTGGTGTGCTGATTGTTGCTGCTCGTTTGGACAGCGCAGGCAGAGGGGGTGGGGTGGGTGGGGTGGGTGGGTGGGGTGGGGGAGAGACACGTGCCCATCGTTTTCGAATTGAGAATTAATTGGTGACAGCCCCAATTCTACATCGTCACGTGTAGGCGACACGTGGGTGTCACCCGTCTACCCACACAGTCAGTGGCGTAGCTATCGAGTGTGTGCAGGCGGTGCAACTGCCCCTGCACCGGGGCCTAAGGGACGGATGGGGGGGGGGCCCAGGGGGAGGGAAGGGGGGAGGCTCCCATTTTAATCCCCTGTACCTCCCCCCAGCGCCGGATGAAGCTAGTGCGGGACCTGTAGCTCATGTTATAAAGGGGCCCTAAATAAAAAAAAACACAAATATGACAACACAAATGTTTAACTTGCATAGTAAAGTAATTGTAATGTTTCATTTGTTATACAGCCGGATAATACGACAAATCGCGAACCTTAAACACCCAGTCGTTCATAAAGGTTGAAGGCGGTATAGGACTATAGTAATAGAGCAAGTGCAGAATCACTGAACCGGAATTGATAGCTTGAAAGCATTTAGCGCGGGGACCTTTCAAAGTGCGGGGCCCGTAGCTACTAAATATGTAGCTACAACACGTGTAGTAGCTACAACACGTGTAGTAGCTACAACACGTGTAGTAGCTACACGTGTAGTAGCTATAACACGTGTAGTAGCTATAACACGTGTAGTAGCTACACGTGTAGTAGCTACAACACGTGTAGTAGCTACAACACGTGTAGTAGTTACAACACGTGTAGTAGCTACTACACGTGTTGTAGCTACTACACATGCAGCTACAACACGTGTAGTAGCTACTACACGTGTAGTAGTTACAACACGTGTTGTAGCTACTACACGTGTAGTAGCTACTACACGTGTAGTAGCTACTACACATGCAGCTACAACACGTGTAGTAGCTACAACACGTGTAGTAGCTACAACACGTGTAATAGCTACTTTGCTACCAGGATAACCGGCACTCCCCCTCCCCCCACCGCTATGGCAAAGACGCTGTGCCCACTGCTGACGGAGAGCTAATTCTATTCCCCTTCAAATGCCGTCCGTGTCATTCTTGATGCGTCTTAATTACGCGTTTATAGTCAACAAAATAATTGTGATACTGCGTGGGCCGCTGTGGTTTGTGGTTGTGCATAAAGCACAAATCACAAAACTCACATTTGTCAGTGACACTGGCCCGTTTTACATCTTTATCCGTTCACGGTGGTATTATTGACGAGTGTGTTGAGTCTTTGTTAATTATACCGATCATTACGAGGGGCTTGGAGGCGGTGGTGGGGGGGTAACAACGTGGTGGTGTTACACCAGATGATTGCGATGTCCATGGTAATGTGTGCAATGTGTGTTTCTGTCATTCAACGTGCACGGGATATCGGCGGCGACTTGGTAATGACATTAACACCAACGTGACCTCCTGTGGCCAACTCGCGTCATAATGATCAATCGCTTAATTATTTACGCAATTGACTAATCACGCTTAATTGACTTCAAGTGCGTGGAGTGAGTACGTGTCCTTTGAAATCGCCATTTAATGTACCCCACGATCGTTTAGGTTTCATTTTAAATTGAGCGCACGTCCATTGCCACGTGACCGCCGCATTTCAATCTCCACGTCGCGCGTTTACAATTGGCAACGACTCTGCCTTTTAAAAATAACAATAACAACAACAACAAAAAGTGCTTCAACATCTGTGCCTCTATAACAACCTTTGACGTTGTTGTGTTAATCGCTCTACCGTCCCTTGTGAACGTTGACGTCTCTATCGCCGTGTCTCTCTCGAACGCGTGTCGCTAGCAGGGTACGAAATTGTAACGGCGTTGACCTTTCCACGTGTCTTGTCATACAAACCCGCGATATACGAAGGGAGGTCAAAACCCTTCGAGATCCGAATCTTATCGACGTACCCCCCCAACGCAGTTTACGGCATCACGTTCAGAATCACCACCGACAAACGCGATGAGCTGCGACGCTGATGACCCGAGTTAGATTTCTGCTCGTGGGCTCGCCATCCACGGGGAGTCATATTAAGTCGATCAGACCTCCTCCCTCTCCACACCTTCACCAACCCGCACTGACCAGCGTGGTGAAGTATGGTCAAAGGAACCGCCCCGAGCGACACGGCGCAGCGAAGACCTTCATCTAGCTTTGGATTGACAAAGGGCTGTGAATTATTACCAATTACGGTTCGGAGTAATTAAAATAGACTAGTATGAAATACACCTAACGCACTGTCACGTGTACAGCGTTACATGGGCGGGGTCCTTATTCTCATATCGCGTTTAAGTGGCATCAGCGACGCGGTTGGATGGACACAAAATCCATACTAGCCCCTCGGAGGAGGAGCCTTAAGCGGGCCGCATTGCCGACTTGACATTTCTGCACGGACGTGCGTGCGTGCGTGTGTTCTGAACTTCTTTCGCGCCGTACGTTGACCAAGCGTGCTACTCGGCAGACAAGTCGACGTAACTGGTGATCGACTCGTCGCCGAGACGGCTATGGGATGCTGCTCGCGCGACAGGGCCCAGTGTCTCGTAACGCGGAACGTTTTGAACCCCGTCTCGTGTACTGTATATATAAATACCTCTCTAAAGGCGCAACATGCGCGCTCTATATACCGTATATACACTGTGTTTCATATATACGTTTATACCATATACAGTATATACATGATCTCTGCTTAGCCTGGCCCAAGCGCAGAGTCTTGCAAAATCCAGTCATCGCGACAGAAACACGGTCCGCATTTTCAACGTTTCAGCAATTTTCTCCGTGCAGATACAAATCACGGTGTTACACGCCGCACGCGCCCGATGATTGCTAAACACGTAACATGACGTGACGCTGGAAGGGGCCGATTCAAATTTCGGGTGCGTCGCGTGGGGCACGCCAGATCTGTACTCGAGTTCCACACGTACACAGACGTTGCTTCATTTCAGTCGGAGCTGTCCGGGGCTGATCTCCTGAAAATACCCCCTCCCCAAACCCGCGCGCTGTAGAGAGGGGGGGGGGTGGTGGGAGTGCCGTGGGGGGAGATCCGTAACCTCGGGGGTGTTCCGAGAATGTCTCATGAAATATCGAGGCCTGCGTCGCACACACGATCTCTACGATTTCATCGGCGCTTAAATCACACGTGACCTGCGCGGACGATGACGAGGGACAGACACCGCTCCGTGTCGCCTGTAACACAGACTGTTGGGGGACAAGCGCTGTTTGCGAGCACCTATCAAGGCCGGCAGGGCAACACGGGATGGTGTGTGGCCAACGTCACGCCCGTGCCCACGCCTTTGTCTTCCAGACGTAACCCGCACACACACACCACGAATAACTATGAATTACACTCGGCGCTCTCTTCGTCACGCGGGACTTGTTTTGCAATCACCAGCCGCGTGCAGCGCGCAACGGAGACGATTTGGTAACAACAACAACGTTGAAAATTGCACGTCCGTGGTGGGGGTGGGGTGGTGGTGGGTGTGGGGTGGGTGAATTGGGTTCAGTTAAACCCCGGTCGTAGGAGCAACAAAGCCAGCGAAAGCCGGGGGGGGCCTTTAATTGTGCGAGGTCATGTGTCTGGAGAGGTGGTGACGCTCTCGGAACGTCTCGTTGCAGATGGGGCACTTGAGCTTGTCCTCGCGGCGCCGCTTGAGCACCGGCTCCTCCGCGTACTCCTTCTTGTGGTGCGAGCGCATGTGGTACACCAAGTCGGAGGTCATCCGAAACGACGTGTTGCACTTGGCGCACCAGTTCTGCGCGGGCAGCCCCAACGGCGTGAGCGTCGGGGGCAGCAGGGGCAGCGCTCCGGGCAGCTGCACTGGGATCGCGGTCGCCTTGGGCCAGAAGGCGGGTGCGAGTAGGAACGGGGTCTGCTGCTGCTGATGGTGCTGCTGATGGTGGTGATGATGATGGTGCGGCGTGTGGTGCTGCTGCTGCTGCTGGTGATGCTTGTACGCGTTCTGCAAGCCGCCTCCTCCGTTGATCTCGAGGCCGTGCTGCTTCGAGCCCTGCATGGAGGGAGGCAGCATGGAGGCGGAGAGCTGCGCGAATGGCCGCACGGGCTGCGAGAAGGCGCTCTTGCGCTCCGCGCCGCCGAGCGGCGACTTGAGCAGCGACGTGAAGGCGGCCGCGGCGTTGATGGCCACCTCGGCGCGCGTCTCGGACAGAGTCTTGGCACCGCCGCACAGCTCCGCGGAGGCGCTCCGGCTCCTGAGCGCCGCGGCGAACGCCTCGCACGCCTCGTCCTCGGCGCGCTCCTTGCCCGCCTTGCGCACCACCTCTGTGAACGCGCTGCGCTTCGAGCCGTGCTGCTGCTGCTGCTGCAGCGCGTCCGTCGCGTAGCACGGCCTCCTCGGCGCCTCCCGCACCTCGTCGACGTCATCCGAGGAGCGCTCGCGGTCGTCCTTCACCACTCGCTCGTCGCGGGTAGCCCCGTCGCAGCCGCCGATGTTGGTGGTGGTGGTGGCGTCGCGGTGCTCGTCGAGAGCGCCCGCGACGGGCACCGACGCGGCCTTGCTCACGAGCGCACAGTCGCCCTTGGCCGCAGCCGCTGGCGGGGAGTCACCCGAGGCGGGCAGCGGTTTAGCGCTCGCCCGCGCCCTCTTGGCGGGCGTCCTTTCGTCCGCGTCGCTCGACGGCCGCCGCGCCTTCTCCATGTCGTGCGCCAGGCTGTGGAAGTTGGTGACGCGCTTTCCGCTCTCCAGGAAGAGGCCGGCTGCGGCTGCGGCAGCCGCGGCGGCCGCCCGCTTGCCCTCGAGCAGGTGCTGGTGAAGGAGGGCCGCCGGGGACAGCACGGCGCCACCACCGCCGCCAACCCCGTGGTGGTGGTGGTGCGCGGGGCCGCCCCCCGGGAAGGCGAGGATGCGCAGGTTCTCGTGCAGGATCGAGAAGTCGCGCCGCTTCTGGCACAGGAAGCGCAAGTGCGCCGCGTAGGGGAACTCGAAGTGGAACGCCTGCTGGCACTCGCCACAGCGCAGCAGCGGGGACGATGGGGAGACGCCTCCTGCGAACGGCGACCGCGCGCGCGCTCGTCAATGGGAGTGTCGCGAACGGCGACCGCGCGCGTGCTCATCAATGGGAGTGTCGCGAACGGCGACCGCGCGCGTGCGTGCTCGTCAATGGGAGTGTCGCGAACGGCGACCGCGCGCGTGCTCGTCAAAGGGAGTGTCGCGAACGCGCGCGCGCTCGTCAATGGGAGTGTCGCGACCGCGCGCGCGCGCGCTCGTCAATGGGAGTGTCGCGACCGCGCGCGCGCGCTCGTCAATGGGAGTGTCGCGAACGGCGACAGCGCGCGCGCGCGCTCGTCAATGGGAGTGTCGCGAACGCGCGCGCGCTCGTCATTGGAAGTGTCGCGACCGCGCGCGTGCTCGTCAATGAGAGTGTCGCGAACGGCGACAGCGCGCGCGTGCTCGTCAATGGGAGTGTCGCGAAAGCGCGCGGGGTCCGTGTGTGCTCGTGTGTCGGTAGGTCACGTGTGTGTAGGCGGTCACGCGGTCCGTGCCGTGGTTCAGCGCGCCGCGCTCACAACCCGGGGCGGACCCGATTTAGATTCGCGCTCACAGCCAAAAAGGAATGTTCACGACTATTACCGGGACCCCCCCTGGATCGACTCGGCCCCAAACGAGTCGCGTATCCGCTGCGCTGTGTGAACAGCGTCACTGGAGGAACCGCCCCACGACCACCCATACTTTGTCGGCCTTCGTAGACGCTCGCTAACAGCACTTGCCTAGCTAGAGCGGGGGGAGGAGATGGGTGGCGTTCCTTCTTGAGTGGAACTGTGGAAGTCACAGCTGACGCAGTTGCGGGGCAACTCGGTCAACCCTTGACACCCGGAGGCCGTCCCGTGACCTCCCCGTAACGCAGCGAGCCTTCGATCCTTCACCGTGGCTTTAATGCGCACCTAGCCTGGCACAGGTGCTGTGGTGACGCCACTGCCAGCCAATTCAAAATCCTGTATTTTTTTTTTTGCCCATCAGAATCGTTATTTGTACTGGATGAATCCGATGAGCGATAAAGCTCTTTGTCGCAAATCTCCAGTAGGGGCAGGTCAGAAAGTTATCGGTCAATATCCGGTTGTTGGTGGTTTAGCGTCGTGCTGGCCTTACTAGGTGCTCGCTAACAGCACTTGCCCTGTCAGTCTGCAAAAGTCCACACAGGGTATCTTTGTCTTGGCGGTGTCTGTGTAACGCGTGTGTTGTGTGTCTACGTAGTAGCGTATGTTCATGTGTCCGCAGATAGTTTCTGTATACACGAATGTAATGTCTGTGTGTATTCACAGTATGTATGTGATGTGTGCATGCCTGTGTGATTGCACGTATGTGTCATGTGACGCGTGTTTTATGTTTGCATGCGTGTCGTGTTTGTCGTGTATATAATGGGCGTCTGTCTTGCGTTCTACGTATGTATGTGATGTTTGGATGCATATGTGCATGTTTGTCATGCCAGTATGTAATACATTTAATTGCTACTTTTGCCACATTAGAATGCATGTGTAATGGCGACTTGGACAAAGTTGTAATTGTACGTGTTCATCTTAATTATCATGATCTCACCCCCCTCGTGTATCGACGTGCCCAAATCAAAACTGCAAACGTATGGCATCACTTTGTTCGTCAGAAGTTCATCACTAGAGTTAAGCATCCCCCCCCACCCCCTTTGAATATGATCAATAAAGAGACGCCATATATACGTATGTATGTTGAACTTTTTTCGCACCGTACGTAGCCAACCGTGCTCATCGAAGAGTCCGGAGGAAGGACAACACAAACTAAACACAACAAGCAGATCTAAAGAAATTCGTTTTCAATCTACATGATTTAAAAGCGCATCGCTCCAGTTGGCCTCCGCATATCGGAACGAAGAACGTTCCAGACGGCCGCAGAAGCGCATCTGAAAACGCCGCCTCTGTTCGATGGCTCAGATTGGGGACAGGTTTTTTTCAGTCTTCAAATATTATGATGATGATGATGGTGATCCTGGATCCCACATAGACGCTATGCGTGAGTTTGAGCTCCATTGCTTTGTTCCTTGAGTTGCTGAGAATGGCACGTGTATGTGTGAAACCGGCCGTAGTGCTGTATAATCCGCGTGAGTTGTGACGCACACTTCATGAAGTTCTACCATGTCACCGAGAAGCGTTTAACCGTGGATGGTGCGTATGTATGGTGAACTTCTTCTTGGTTCTTTCGGTAAAGTCACGTAGAAGGGAAGTAATAAAATAATAAAAATAAAACATAATAACTTCTTTAGCACTGTACGTAGCCAACCGTGCGTGCCTCTATATAGCGCAGCATACAGACACATTTAAGTGCACGCATGCCTGCTATTACTCTATACACATATGTTTTAATTACTCTTGCAGCCATCAATTCTCAAGTGTTGCGTCGGCATAATTAACTTTACTAGCGACTGCCTGCAAATTGATTTCCCCGTACATATTGATATGACACGCACAGCATGTAGAGGAATGCACACGCGCACGAGGCATCTATAGGCTTAGTTAACTCTTATTAGTAGCTTCCTGCAAATTAATTTCCCCGCATCCCCACAAATGGTCTGCTGATGAGTACGGGAATTTTCGCACAAGCCAAAGCCTCATATAAGAATGTCTCCCAGACAACGATGTAATGCGCATACGCGTACTAACATCTCCCTGCGTAACTTCACTTCAATAGTTTTTGTTTGACCGGACCAAAGAGTCACTTGTCATTGAGTCCACCTCCTACGCATTTCCCATGAATATGCTAAATTCCTCTTCATATGCACATTATTTTTGTTAAGGCGCTCTTCCACCTCCAACCCAGCTTATATATAAGCTCCTAGCTTGGTAGTGTCTCATTCTTCACCTGAAGACGGCTGCTTGCGTTGTAGCCGAAACATCGTGAGAATTATTTTATTTTATTATGTTTTATTTTTATTATTTTATTACTTCCCTTCTACGTGACTTTACCGAAAGAACCAAGAAGATGAGTCCATCATACTTCGTAAGAGACGGCATCTCGAAGGACAGTTGTATCCGTTGATCCTTTTAAAAGATTGTTAATGAGAAATATGTCGAGGGATTTTTATTTTCTGTCTATTTGACGGCGGACAGCGCATTCCGAAAACAGCTTTGCAATTTACACTATGAGACCTCCTTTACCAGTGGCAAAATATAGTAATAGGTTTTTACCATTTCAACTGGTACGGTCAGTTTTTGTACCAGTTGAAAGGGGAAAAACATATTACTAGCTTCGCAATTGTTACCGGGAACAAAACATTTTACGGTTACTACTGGATAGCTCCAGCAATACGTGTACTGCGTGCACTTGATGCACACACACATTTAAAAACACAATCGCTGTTTCGCCATGCAGACTGTGTTCGACAAGCGCTGTTAGCGAGGATCTGTGTCTCGGCTAAAAGAGGTGATCAGTGAGTTGACCTCGGGGCAGGTTCATGACCGGTCCGACTATGACTCGTCGCCAATAATAGCGTGACCTGGAATCTAGAATCAGAATGTTTAGTTACACTGGATGCATCCGATGAGCGATAAAGCATTTTTTCACAGATATACAGTAGACATCTATGGAAATCCAACTCAGGCTTCCGAGTTTCTTGCGTAGTGTGCAAACCACTGCGCCACCACTCCACCCATGTATATAAAAAAAACACAAACACTGCTGCTGGCAAGTTCTGCTAACGAGCACCTACGAAGGCCGGCACACACGAGAGAGGGTGTTGTAGGTGACCAGCACCACGCCCAGACGCGTCTGTCTCTCTCGTGGCGATGCTTACACCTGAGTCGACCTAGAGGGAGCCCGGGACCACTTCGAACATTCGCCACCACCGCCGGTCGTGAGCGAGAATCAGATTCGTAGCGCGCGCGGGGAGCGCCGACCACTGCACCACCGCTCCCCCCCGTAAAACACGCGCGCGCACGCACGAGCAACCGAACCAAAACGCAACATTTGTGCCCCCACCCATCCCTCCCTCCCCCACCGTTGGCGGCCTTGTGCGGCACTGTGTCGTCGAGTCGCAGCAGGGCGGCCAGCTCCCTGCCGTACCACACCAGCAGCTCCTCGTCGCGCGAGATCTTGCGCAGCGAGCGGTAGAAGAGCTGCCCGTTCTTGAGGTAGGCCTCGAGATTCTGCTCGGCGCGGTCCCTCGCCGGTTGCACCAGACGCAGCCACGCGACGCCGTCCGCCGCGCCCTGGGACGCGGTGGTGTCCACCTGTGGCAAACCCGCGTGGGGGTGGAGGAGAGAGGAGACGGGTGGGTGGGTGGGAGAGTGGTTGCGTTTGCGGTTGCAGATTTTCTTAGGTTTTTTCGGTAAAGTCGCGTAGGGGGAAAATAAATAGATAATAAAATTTATAATAACACTGGTCAACAAAAAAAAGTTTTTTTTCTGGCCTGGACTTTTGCAGCTGTTTTAGACTCATTTCAGGGTGCTGATTCCAAATCTGATCTCAGATTTGCTCTATCACATCTCATTTTTATGCTATCGGCATACCCCATTTTCATTGATTTTACCCGAAATTAACTCTGTCACTTATGATTGCAAGTTGTTGCGAGTCAGTGACTGCTTTAGTGTTAAACTATGGTGCTGTATTTTTAGGATAGTGTGTTTATAATATCATTGTATGTAGATATCCACATTTATTGAATATTTTTCTTCTGCAGTTTTTATTGAAAATGCAATATTTGATATCTCAAAAACCTGATGTGATAGACAAAAACTGATGCCAGATTTGGAATCTGCACCCCAAAATTACATTAAAACCATTGGAATACCTTATGCCAGAAAACGTGTGTTGACCAGTGTAATTATTGAAATAATAATAGAAATAAAATAATAAATCACGACGTTTCGGAGGCAACACAAGTCTCTGTCATCAGGTGGGACCGTCACAGCCAGATTTACTGTATCAAAGGGTTATTTATTTATTTATTTATTTATTTTCCCCCTACGTGACTTTACCGAAAAAACCTAAGAGTATGAATCCTTGCAGTCACGAAAGCTTCAAATCTAGAAGAAGAAAAAAAGTTGCAGATGTTGACCGCGGCATCTATAAACGCTTGCCCGCCGCTATCGGGGCTGTTGTCCACTGACGCGGTCTGTTGATTTTATCGACGAGTCGGAAGATGCAGCCTTCACACTGGCCCCACTCTGTTCGGTGAGAATTCACGGACGAATGCCATCGACGCGGCGACCGAACATCGACCACCGATCTCCCGGTCTCCAGAGGAACAACAACAACAACAAGCCACGCCAACGGGCGCGCTTAATCGATATGTTTATCATCACGGCCGAAGTAGCTGATGCCACCACACCTCGCAAATGTTTTATGTCACCCGCTGCCAGGTCACCGTGGTCGCTGCGAGGTTGATACGGAGCGACCTCCCGACATCTGCCCTCGTGGTCTCCCACCGTCTGCACTAAGGTCTTCCCGTTGCTTGCCAGACTCGTGGAGACCGCCCCAATGACCGTGGCGGTCCTCGGTTCCTCTCCCATCCGCCACGTGTGTCCTAACCCAGCGCGAGCTGTACTTCCCGAATCATATCGGCACCACGCGTACCTGTACCAAGTTCGCTTCTGGACGTCTGCATTGCACCCGTGCTCGAATTGCAATAACTTATGTTCTTGCTGATGAATCCGAAGCCCAACTCTCTGACCCACCCGAATAAATTTTTTTTTTTAACATTTATTTCCAGGTAAGGCTCAACGAACTGTGTAGCTCTTTTTCAAAAGCGACCTGGCCACAAATGATAGCTCAACGAAGTGGCTTATCACGTGGAATTGTATAGCAGCCAAATACTCTAAACGCGTGATGTTGATCCTAAATGTGGAGGCAAAAACCGGTGGACCCGGAGAAAAATCGACGCGACCACCACGGGGAGAACATTCAAACACCGAATACACAGAAGCCAGAGTAGGGGTCGAACCCACGCCCTCCTGTATACCAGGCGAGGTAGTTAACATCTCGCCACGGGGGCTCCCTCTGCTAACGAGCATTGAGCGACTCGAGGCGGGAACGGTGCCACGCGGCCGTGATCCGTTTAGCAATTTTCAAAGCCGATTATGCTGCGGATGTGTTTGCCAGGAAGGAGAGCAAGTAGGTTCGTGAGCCCGTGTGGTGTAGCAGAGCTTTCATTGTCATTTACTTGATTACAGCAAGCGTGATGTGACGGTTCCACCTGAAGACGGAAGCTTGTGTTGCCTCCGAAACGTCGTGATTTTTTATTTATTTTTATTTTACTTTTATTAATTTAGATTTTTTTTTATCTACGTGACTTTACCGAAAAAACCTAAGAATAGGAATACTTGCAGTCACGAAAGCTTCAAATCTAGAATTAAGACCTGGTCTTCGCCTGAGGATGGCTGCTTGCGTTGTGGCCGAAACGTCGTGAGAGTTATTTTATTATGTTTTGTTTTTATTTTTTATTATTTTATTATTTCCCTTCTACGTGACTTTACCGAAAGAACCAAGAAGATGAATCCCTGCAGTCACGAAAGCTTTAAATCAAAATTTAGCTTTCAGTGTCTTCCCCCGAGTGAGCGTGAGTGGAGCTCGTTCCAGGATCTCTCCGTGTTTGTCCCACCCGAAGGGAAATGCAATTTCTCACGGCAGGACAACTCCTGGATATACCAGACCTGGAAAAATAGAATAAATTCCTATCATTGCTATTTATTAATTAAGATATAACGTCACTCTAATAATACACCTTTACTGATTATCATTATTATTATTAAAAGCCATAAAGCTGCTACAAGAATATGTGCGGTTGAGGATGTTAGATGTTAAATATTGACCTTGCAGTTCCGCCTGCCGACAGCCGCATCATTTGTATTGCTCTTTCAACGAATATGAGTGTTAAACTAACTTACTCTTATCAGCATGTCACGGTTGTTAATTAATAGCAGAACGTGTGCGTGCGCTCGTGAGAATAACGGTTCGCTATAGCCGCAGAGGGAGCGGTGGTGCAGCGGTTAGCCCGAACCTGGCCACCAGGGTTCGATTACTGCTCACGGCCAACACCAGTGACGACTATCTGAACCGGTCCTGGGCCTTCCCTAGGTCGACCCATTCTACAATGAGCACCTGATGTGGCGTGTAAACATCGCGCCACTTGGGAAACAAAAGCGGCCGGGCGCGGTGCTGACCACCCACCCTCTCGTGTGCCGTGCCGGCCTCCATAGGTGCAGCTCGCGAACAGCACTTGCCCCAACAGCCTGTTCAGGCTATACGGGGGACCTTTGTCTTTGCTACAGCCGGCAATTCATCTACTATTGCGGAACTTTTATGACCCTAACCCTGACCCTAAACCATAACCCCTGAGCGCCAACGCGATCATCTGGACCCACGGCGTGGCGGTAAATCTCGCTGTTGTGCAGCGGAGTGCAAAGACGAGAGTCGGATGAAAACAAGGGGGGGGGGGGGCTGCGTGTCGAGTCGTCTCGAATCGCATCTTTCGCATTTGCCCAGAGACTCGGCGAGCAAGCGAGCGAGCAGCCTCACGTCGCTGCCACGTACGACGCCGGCAATAGGATCCGTGTGCCCGTCTGTGTGCGGCCACTCGTATTCGCAGGAAGTGCGTTGAACTTCTGTCGCGAACGCACGCAGCCAACACCGCTCTCCTCGTCGAAGGTGCGGGGGAAGGACGGCAAACTAAAACACAAAAACGCAGTCCCAAAGAAATTAGTTTTCAATCGAGAGCTAAAAGTGCGTAGCTCCCAGTGGCTTCTTAATATGCGGAGGAAGAGCGTTCCAGACGGCCGCAGAAGCGCATCTTGAAAGCGCTGCGCGGGGCGGTGACCACCGCCTTTGTTCAATGGACAGCCAAAAGCCGCCACCGCCGCTGCTGCTGCTGAGAGGATGAGCGGAGAGTCGTGTTCGGATGACACGCGGGGCACATGCCAATTCTTCCTTTCACACGTGGGGAATGACAAAAGTCCACCAGATTGTGAACGTGGTGAAGTGCGATCCGCGCTTCGAACGCTGCGGGCACGCGAACTAACTCCTGGTGCCATAAAATGGGTTGCCCAAACTCAACGTGAAGTAGCGATTGTTGTTGTTGTAATTGGCCCTGTTCACGCCGTGAGAAAGCGAGAGCAACGGAGTGGCCGAAACTGAAGAGTCCCCGTCAGAATGTCCACCGAGAGACCCTCAAGCTCCATGGCGAGAGTGAAATTATTTCTCAAGCGTCAAACTTGGAAACCCAATCGTTTGTTGGGGCGCGCTGACGGTGTTCGCTGCACTTTAACCGGAGGGTCACGGAAACATCCCCCACGGGGGATAAAGTGGATTTCGTTATTCGCATAACGGGGTGCCTGCCGAAATCACACACACACACAAACACGCACAATAACACACACACAATCACACACACACAATCACACACACACACAATCACACACACACACAGACAATCACACACACAATCACACACACAATCACACACACACAATCACACACACAATCACACACACACAGACACAAATAAACACACGCATACACACACAAAACTCACACAAACACACACAATCACACAAACACACACACAAACACACACAAACACAAGTAAACACACACATAAACACACACACAATCACACACATAAACACACACACAATCACACACAAACACACACACAGGTCTTCAGTTCCTGAAGAAGCTCCCGGCAGCACGTGGAGCGAAACGTCAGACATGATGCCGAACCACACGCGGGCACAAACCCCGAAAGCACACCGGAGAGCCTACGACAAGGGGTAGTTTAAAGACGTGCACGCGTCTAGATGTGTTACCCATGACCTGTTGGCCAATAGAACATTGATAATGACTGCCACCACCACCACCATCATCACCATCACCACCACCATCATCACCACCACCATCATCACCACCACCACCACCACCACCATCACCACCAACACCATCACCACCACCACCATCACCACCATCATCATCATCACCACCACCACCATCACTATCACCACCACCATCATCACCACCACCACGACCACCATCATCATCACCACCATGGTTCCGACACTCAAGCAAAAACCCTCGCGAGATCAAGCTCAAGCGCATTCTCTCGATGGAAGAGAGCGGAGGCGTTATCGCATGAAATCGTTACAAGGGATGTGATGAATCAACGCGCTCGCAGCCCTCTGGGAGCGGGGAGGGGGGTAGGGTAAGAAGCGACGTGGCAGGAGCGTCGCACGCTTAATCACGCCGATTGATTGATCAGGACGCGTGACAATGCGGACGGTTATACACCTCGCCAGGTGTAATTCGTTAAAACAACACACATATATACACATAGCAACATTCTGTCTTAGTATGTATACAACAGGTTGGGACGTCAACTTCGTGCGCAAACGAAATTTGGAAGGAAGTGTCGGGCGGTGACGTCAGTCGTTAAATAACTCGTCGTTCGGCATCATCCTCCGGTGATGACACGCAACCTGTTCACGATTTACTCCATTGCGTGGAGGATGCAGAAGAACACCCGTTTCTGCACCGCGCGCATTCCGTAACAACCCTTGACACCATGAACGAATTCAGTTTTAAGAACGTACAACACGTGCGTACAACACGTGTTGTAAACACGGATCTGAGAGCGAGGTTTTCATTCAAATGAAAGTCAACAAAACCCTAATGCGAGGATCGTTTCAAAGTCTGTGCTTTCTTGAGCAGCTCTTAACCCCCCTCGCTATGAATACGTTGCAATGACGATGATCTATGAGATAACGGGAATAGGCGCACGTGCCTGCAGTTATGCTCCTTATTGAACAAGGAAAGGGAAAAGCCAGGCATGAGCACGGACAATGTAAATCTATTCCAGCATGCATTTGCCTTCGGAAGTATTACATTATCAGTGCAAAAGCCGACGGAGTAGCTTTAATTCGAGCTGATATATTTTGTATGGTTTATGCCTCCGGGTTTACGCTCGGGTAAGATCGTAATAACAACGCAACTTTACACGCGAGGTTCGCTCATATTGGGATCATCACGAGGCAGAACAATTCGTCGTAACTCCGCCCTTCCGACGGCCAACACCACAGCACCAACAAGTTCAACCTCAGTCATGACGCGTTGAATAAAAACACAATTCCAGAACTTCGTAAGGCACCGGCCTACAAAGGCAGAGATCCCCATATAGCCCACGCGTGATGTTGGGGCAAGTGCTGTCAGCGAGCAGCACCTATGAAGGCCGGAACACGGCGTATAAAGGGGGGGGTCGTGTAGCCAGAACCACGCACGGCCGCTTTTGTCTCCCCAGTGCTCATGTTTTACACACTGCACCGGATACTTATTTTGAGGCTGAGCCGACCTAGGCGGAGGGCCCAAGGACCGCTACAAGACAATTTGGAAGGAAGTGTCGGGCGGTGACGTCAGTCGTTAAATAACTCGTTGTTCGGTATCATCTTCTGTCGATAGCTTAGACGCGCTCCGGTGATGACACGCAATCGAACTCGGGTCTCCGGGCGTCGTAGCGCAGCGCGCTCACCGCTCCACCACCGCTCCCGCTCACCGTACGATTGCAAACATCTCCCCCAACATTCTAGATTTGAAGCTTTCGTGACTGCAAGGATTCATATTCTTAGGTTTTTTCGGTAAAGTCACGTAGGCGAAACATTAAAAAAGTAAAATAAAATAAAAATCACGACGTTTCGGAGGCAACACAAGCTTCCGTCTTCAGGTGGGACCGTCACAGCCACGACAGCTGTATCAAGTACTTGATACAGCTGTCGTGGCTGTGACGGTCCCACCTGTTTTACCTACGTGACTTTACCGAAAAAACCTAAGAATATCTCCCCCTACAGCCTCTCACTGGTTGTAGGGCCAAGCGCTCTTAGCGAGACCCTATGGAGCACCTATACAGGTACTGAACGCGCTCGCACCGCACCCACGCGCACGTTGAGCAGCAGCAGCAGCAGACGTCTCCGCCTTACCCTGAATACGTAGGGCGCGGTGCGCTTGTCCACGGCCTTGAGCGCGATGAAGGCGATGGTGTCGATGAAGGATGCGCTGGACAGGAGGCAGGGCCCCAGGATGGCGTGCTCGGGCACGTCACACGTGGTGAACACGCTCGTGAAGATGTCCGCGAGGCGCTGCTGGACAGCGCGGACGTCGTCGTCCCACGGACCCTTCACCACCATGCCCGCCGCCTCCACGTCCATCTCAGACTGCGGTGCGGGGTGGAAATGGGAAAAAAACGACAGTTTCGTTTTTATTATGTATATATGTGTTTGCGCGTGCGTGTGGTTTTTTTTTCACTAGTGATTTGTTTACACTTTCCTATACTTTGCGCTCATATCGTGGTTTCGTTGTTGTTGTTGCTTTTCGGTTCTTTCGGTAAAGTCACGTAGGAAGAAAAATAATAATTTATTAGCTAATTATAAAATTAATTAATTATTTGTTAATTATTTTTCACGTAGGTAGAAAATAATTATTTATGAATTAATTATTTTCCTACCTACGTGACTTTACCAAAAGAACCAAAGAGTATAGATTCCTGCGGTCACAAAGCTTCAAATCACAGATCTATTGTTGTTGTTGTAACGTTCTGATGTCCCGACTGGACATCCGTGAAGACGAGCTTAATAGCTCATCGCATTCCTCCAAGTAGAAATAAATAATATCGTGATTCTGGTGAAGACAACGACCCCCCCCCCCCCCCCCACGACCCCACGTAGCCTGTAGGGCAGAGTTCGACAACCTGCCGCTCTCTAATGACTCCTGCGTGACGCTGTTGACGAAGGATCGCCGTCTCTCCTACCCACCACGCGGATTCGCGACTCTTGCAATATTTACGGGAAGTTTGTTTTATAATATAGATACAGAATTCTCAAAAAAATCTCCCTTCTTGTTATTTTGATTGCCCATCCCTGCTGTTAGTGGGGAGAGTGCTGTTAGCGAGCACCTATTAAGGTCGGTGTGGGGGCCATGCACGCGCACGCACAGAGTTACGTGAACGCCGCTTGCCAGCCGACGAATTCGCGGTCCGCCGTTGAGCCGGATTTCGTTACGGTGGCGCATTTACCTCTGAACATGTGCACACAACCGCAGTATATATATAGATAGATACGCTGGTGTATCGATATATGTAAAGACATTCATGGGTATCACCATTCATCAACACGCACTGACCAGCGAGGTATGGGCAAGCTACCCCATGCGACCTACACGGCTGGATTGAAAAACAGTGCCAACTTATTCTTCTTATTGGAATAAAGTGAGCCGGTGATTCTTGTTGTAGGCGAGTATCTGTTAAGATGACACATTCCATAGTGGTCACTCAGCTCCTACCTCCCCTCCCCGCGAGTGAAAAGATTGCCCATTGATATTGACCCGGTTGCAAATTCACGTGAACTTCGCTGCCAAGCCCGCGGTGGCAGGCGCGCAAGAGATTAGGGCCCTAATGTTCATGAACGTCGCCGTGAACAGTTCCAAACACAAACGCGTGGACACTTCGAGTCTCATATCAGCCGTGCAATATATCCACACGCACACACACACAAGCGCGCACACACGCACACATACATACACGCGCACACATACATACACGCGCGCACACGCACATACGCGCAAATCACAAAACCCTAAGCAAAGCATACGTTCGACACCGATGTGTTCACCGATTTAAAGACACATTTGCAGGCCATTGAAAGAAAACAAATCGCTTTTTTATTACTGAAATAGTTTAGTTATTGAGCCCACAAAGTGTTGAAAGGTGTGTTTATATCTGAAGCATATCTCTTTTTTTGGAAGACGCGTTTCGAGTGTTCGGTTGTGGAGGAAAAAGGCGTCTTCATTTTCACAGCGGGACATAAAACCGTGTCAGCGTGTTATATACGAGGCATGACACGTCACTTAATCAGATCCTGCGAGACATCTCACTGAAGACATCTCTCCTGCAAGACTTCTCACTTAAGTTCCGATAGATAGCGAGGATTTGAATCATTGGTGTCAACGCCGTTGAGGAATGGTGTTTATGTATTATTATTATTTTATTTTCATCTATATATCAATTTTTATTTGCATGCCCGGAATAAAATTTAAATAATATTCTATTAAATCTATCATCGAGATATTATCTCTCTCCTTGTTTTTGTTTTTACACAGGCCAAAAACAACGCGTTCTTAAGAGAATGACGGCGTGTGTGAGTTTACGTGAGCTTCCTTCAGCCGCCAACTGTCACCAACCGCGCACGTGGTTTCTTTTTGTATCGTTCGCGATTGGGTAACGCCTGACGTCTCCATGGCAAGAGTTTCGATTTAAAGCTTTCGTGACTGCAGGGATTCATCGTCTTGGTTCTTTCGGTAAAGTCATCACGTAGAAGGGAAATAATAAAATAATACAAATAAAACATAATAAAATACAATTCTCACGACGTTTCGGCCACAACGCAAGCAGGACGGCTGCTTGCGTTGTGGCTGAAACGTCGTGATAATTGTATTTTATTATGTTTTATTTTTATTATTTTATTATTTCCCTTCTACGTGATGACTTTACCGAAAGAACCAAGAGCATGGCAAGAGTGTTTGAGCCTCAAGGAGCAGATGATTGAGTCCCCGCAGGAATGTTCTTGCGGCGCAGTGGCGAGCGCGCGGCATTCTCGAACTTGCGACTCGAGTTCGATCCCTGGCCACGGCTAACATCAGTGGCGAGTGATGATGTTAACCGGCACTGACCACCCTCCCCCCCCCTCTATCCGCGTCCATCTTCAACAAAGCTGCACTGAATCGTGTCGTCAAATATGTTCTTTTTTTACACCTCCATTTAGCGACACGGCATGGAGAGGCCTACATCCAGCAGTGGATTGACAAAGGTCTGAAGATTTTTTTTTTACATTCAATCTCCATCTGTGTCGGCCAAAAAAGCGCAATTTTGTGCTCATTAATTCACGTAAGTTATTTGATGACGCTCCTGCGTTGGCAGTGGTGCACAAGCACATTTACAACACTGCCTTGCAAGAATATATATAAACCATCGGCGACGTTTCGGGCAATAGCCCTTCTTCGTGGCAAATTATGTGCCACGATGTGCAATGAAGAAGGGCCATCGCCCCTCCCTAAAAAAAACGTCGCCGATGATAGATTTTCTTTCCCTTTTCAAAGCAGGGTCGTTGACGAGCGTTCGTGGGTTTCGTCTTCGATCCATTCGCTCACGATGTGGGATCCGCACGCCAAGAATTCTGAGTATGCGACTTGAGGTGAGCCTCTCTACAACACATTGCCGCTGATGCGCTGGGAGAGAAACACTCCCTCCGTCGAATATCTCTTGCCGTTATTCTTTTTACTTTAATTTTTTATATATACAGAAATTGCAACAATATTATCCGCATTCCCCCTTCCCCCCCGCCATGACCCACCGGTTCGTAATAAACAAAAATATCCCCGCGTTGTTAACACGCGGCTGTCGGCCAGGTCACGTTCCGAATTGTTGTTTTGGTGGTTATGGTTGTTATTGTTGCTGCTGCTGCTGTTGTTTTACGACGATCAGCAGTTCGATAATCACGACCTCGCTTCGCTCATTGCAACTCGTCGCTTGACTGCGTCGGAGTTCGCGACTCGCTGTGTATTTAACAGAGTGCAGCGCGCTTACGTGACGCTCGATCACTTACGTGACACGCGAACGTAATTCGCAACGGTACGTATATACGTACGTACACCGCGAGAAAGAGCTGATCGATACAAACATACAATCCTACAACGTGCACGTGCTGTATGTGCGGCTTAACATTGCATTGGGTGCGGTGGAGGGCTGGCACGGCGGTTAACGTGCTACGCAATGAAACCCCCCCGTGGATCTACGTTAGATTCCCGGCCTGGGCCACCGTGACCAACGAGTGACATCTGAACCGCCTCCACGTCCTTCTGTCCCCCCCCCCCCCTCCTTCACCAACCCCCACTGACCAGCGTGCTGAAGTATGTGCATTGTCATTGCAATGCGTCGTTGCGTGTGGTTCAGTTGTGTCGTTCGTGTCACGACACTGCGACCTGTGGTGTTGCAGGAAGGATGTGGCACAGAGAGACGTGTCTGTGTGTGTGTGTGTAAGTGTGCAGGAGATGTGTGTGTGTGTAAGTGAGGTGTGTGTGTGTGTAAGTGTGTAGGAGAGATGTGTGTGTAAGTGTGTAGGAGGGACGTGTGTGTGTGTAAGTGTGCAGGAGATGTGTGTGTGTAAGTGTAAGTGTGCAGGAGAGATGTGTGTGTCAGTGTGTGTAAGTGTGTGTAAGTGTTCAGGGGGACGTGTGTGTGTAAGTGTGGAGGAGAGATGTGTGTGTGTGTGTAAGAGTGCAGGATAGATGTATGTGTGTGTAAGTGTGCAGGAGATGTGTGTGTAAGTGTGCAGGAGGTGTGTGTGTGTAAGTGTGCAAGAGATGTGTGTGTGTGTGCAAGAGAGATTGTGTGTGTGTAAGTGTGCCAGAGATGTGTGTGTGTGTGTGTGTAAGTGTGCAGGAGGTGTGTGTGTGTGTAAGTGTGCAGGAGGTGTGTGTGTGTGTAAGTGCGCAGGAGGTGTGTGTGTGTAAGTGTGTAGGAGGTGTGTGTGTGTGTAAGTGTGCAGGAGATGTGTGTGTAAGTCTGATGACCCAACTTGATCCATCCGCCTTGACTCATTCCAATTAACTCGCCTCTATTATAGACGAGCCACATTCATCCCGGATGAACCGTCCTTAAAAAGTACGGTTATGGGTACAAGAAGCCAGTAAAGACGGCGAATTAGGTGCGTAAGGCAGTTTGAACTCGTGTATGTTACTGGGGAGGAGTATACGATGTAAAGTTCTTGAGTAAATATCATGGACAGAGCTGAATACAAGAAGGATCACATCGCCGACGTCTTAAATAAATGAAATGTTGAAAGAACGTTCGAGAGATAGAGAGAGGGGACAGAAAACCCGATTGACCTAAGTTATTCACGTACATCAGAACGGTGAATTAAAACGATCTGCAATTCGTGAAGCGTTTAACATTTAAAGAAAGCACACACACACATTGCGTTCACGATGAACGCAATGTTTTAGCGTCTGTAGCCGAGCATATGAACGAGCGTGGAAATAGATTAAATAGAAAACTAGATCGCGTCTCAAAACAAAATCCAACAATGCGCATGGAGTGATCCGCGTATCGACGAACACGGCATATTTTTTAAATAAATAAATATACATTTATAACGCGATGCGCTGAACAAAATTGCACTGTAACAAAGACACGGATCCCCCCCCCCCCCCCCCCGTATAGCCTCAACACACTGTTGGGGCAAGTGCTGTTTGCGACCACCTATGAAGGCCGGGGTGGGATGGCCAGCACCACGCCCGGCCGCCTTTGTCTCCCGAGTGGCGGTGTTCACACACCGCACCAGCTAACCCACTTGAGGCTGAGTCGACCTAGGCGAGGCCCAGGAACCGGTTTCAAATAATCGTCACCGGTGTCGGCCGTGAGCGGGAATCCAACTCGGAAAACCGCCGGGTTCGTAGCGGCAGTTAAGCGCTAACCGCTGCGCCACCGCTCCCCGGCGTAACGCATCCCACCCACCACCCAAACACTCGCTCGCACGTGCGGCCCGACCCGTGCGAGCCTCTGTGCCTCTGCGTGTATGTGTGTCCGTCTGTTCAGCCGCTGTTTCCCCGTTACACACAGAAGCGTATGCCGTCCGCCGCCACCGCATCTCATTTACATATTTACGCATTTCCCACCGAGACTGTAATTAAAAGCGGTGCCTGCGTTTAATTAGTTTTAATCCGATAGTCGTTACGCAAATGATGCCGGGGAGCTAAAACTCGGAGCGCCGTCCTCGGCCTTACACAGCAGAGGTTAGCGCGCGCGTGCCGGTAGAAGTGTGATGGTAGGAGTGTGATGGTAGGAGTGTGATGGTAGGAGAGTGATGGTAGGAGTGTGGTGATAGGAGTGTGATGGTAGGAGTGTGATGGTAGGAGTGTGATGGTAGGAGTGTGATGGTAGGAGTGTGGTGGTAGGAGAGTGATGGTAGGAGTGTGGTGGTAGGAGAGTGATGATAGGAGTGTGATGGTAGGAGTGTGGTGGTAGGAGTGTGATGGTAGGAGTGTGGTGGTAGGAGAGTGATGGTAGGAGTGTGATGGTAGGAGTGTGATGGTAGGAGAGTGATGGTAGGAGTGTGGTGGTAGGAGAGTGATGGTAGGAGTGTGATGGTAGGAGTGTGATGGTAGGAGTGTGGTGATAGGAGTGTGATGGTAGGAGTGTGGTGATAGGAGTGTGATGGTAGGAGTGTGATGGTAGGAGTGTGATGGTAGGAGTGTGATGGTAGGAGTGTGTCCTGTAGGAGTGTGATGGTAGGAGTGTGATGGTAGGAGTGTGTCCTGTAGGAGTGTGATGGTAGGAGTGTGTCTGTAGGAGTGTGATGGTAGGAGTGTGATGGTAGGAGTGTGATGGTAGGAGTGTGGTGATAGGAGTGTGATGGTAGGAGTGTGATGGTAGGAGTGTGATGGTAAGAGTGTGATGGTAGGAGTGTGATGGTAGGAGTGTGATGGTAGGAGCGGGAGTGTGATGGGGAGCGGTGGTGCAGTGGTTAGCGCTACGCTGCGCTACGAAGCCGGCGGCCCCGAGTTCGATTCGCGCTCACGGCCACGTGCACCATCAGAGACGATTATCTGAACCGGTCCCGGGCCTCTCCTAGGTCGACTCGGCCTCAAATTAGCACCTTGTGCGGTGTATAGTAAACATCGCCACTGGGGAGACAAAGGCGGCCGGGCGTGGTGCTGGCCACCGCCTCGTGTGCCGTGCCAGCCTTCACATGCGCTCGCTAACACCACTTGTCCCAACAGTCTGTTAAGGCTATACGGGGGATCTCTATATCTGTCTTAGTGTGAAAGAGATCGGCATAAATAGCTGCTTCTGCTACTACTGCTACAATCGCCTGCGTGAAATGAATCGACTCATGCTCATGAACGCATTCGCTCGCGTTCGTGAATGCGCTACAATCTTCGGCTGCTAAACGAGCGCACATTCACTGATTCCGCACATCTATATTGTCAATACACACACACACACACGCGTGATATGTACATACCTGATGAAGTACGGTCGTATGTACGTTTAGATTCATTGGAAAATATTCTCTGGCCGTTGTGTGACAACCATCCGTTACATTATCCGTTGCGCGTTAGGGGACCTCCTTTAACGCATTAGAAACCTCCGATACTTTGTTTTTAAAGCGATGGCTCAATATAAAACAAGTCACTTTTTTACATATATGTATGTGGATAAAAATATAAAACGCGTGCAAATAAGGTCCGCCGCGTCTGCGTTGAATCATTCGCTTTTACGCGGCCGCAGTACGTGCCTGGATGTTCTTTTTGTGTTCACACACACACACAAACACATCCCATGAGCCAGTGTGAGGAGCGCAGATGGGTCTCAAAACCGGCGCATACATTAAAAGTGCGTATAAATAACCCAGCAAAGCCGCAGCATTCATTAAACAACGCAACGAGTCGTCCTCATGCATGACGTGCACCACACACACACGCACCATTGTAGTTGATCCTGTAAATGAACTGCTACTAATCGGCACGACGTCAAAACTGCCGCTTGTAAATTAACGCGTTAGCGTCTTCACGGGGCTTTACAATTTGCGCGTTTGGGGGCATTTGCAGACACTTCTACAAAGTGATACTGCTGCCGCTGCTGCTGCTTATCTTACTGCTGTTGCTGCTGCTGTTGATGTTGCTGCTGCTGCTGTTGATGTTGCTGCTGCTGCTATTGCTGTGATGCTGACGGCGAGGTGGGTGGCATGTGTGCTACGATCACGGCTGCTGTGTGGCACATTGCTCATGAACACTCTCTCGGCCCGACAGCAAGCGGCGACAGATGCCCGCTCTCCCGTGCTCCTCGCATATTGTCCGCCGCGCATCTCTGTCGCGCTCAAGTAAAAGTGATCGGAGCGAAGAATGACCATGATTATTTTTTTTTAAAGGACAGCGGTTGGGTGATGGTCAAGGCGTTGGAGGATTGGTGGAACGGTGGGGGGGGGGGGGGGGTGCGGTGTGAAGTCGGGAAGAGGACACACGCACACGCACACGAACGTGTTCAAAGCCAATTAGTGAAAGTGCCAGAAACGCATTGCTAATGCTGCGCCGACAGCCGCGCGCGTTCGTCAGCTTCGCGAAAAGAGGTGGGGGGGGGGGGGGGGAGGCTGTCGTTCGGACGAGTTCCAGACGTTCGAGTCAGTCGATGTTAACGGAGCAGCGCCCAAGTCATCGTCGAGCAAATGCAACGCGCGTGGGTTGCGCGCGCGCGGGAGTCCGATTTCGATTTCGCACCGTGGCCAACGTCACTCCGCCACGCGGACGCGTCAGTGGCGTCGATTGGTAACGGTGAGCGCGAAGATTCGTGCCGAGTCCTGAACGCGTCTCTGGAATGGATCGCATCTCTTATTAAGAGCGGCGCACGGTCAATGTCTTGTCTGTTAAACTAGAAACCGCCGCTGTCCCGTCAAGTCTGACTACAATTGAACGGAGGTGGGGTGTGGGGTTTGGGGGGCGATTTCATTTTCGAAAAAACGGTGACACTTTTCCGCTTTGAATTATAACGGGCGGCTGTCGATTAAGACTCACAGACTCGCGTGCGCACATGAAAAGTATTCCGCTTTTGTAGAAACCCCGAGTTGCGCACGCACGAGAAAGAAAGGAGAGAGAGAGGACGCGGATGGAAATCGTTTCAACTCTCAGCCGCTCATCATCGCGGGGGGGGGGGGGGGGGGGGAGCACGTGGCGGCGGCACCGCACATGCACGAGACGACAACGCCGACCACCTCGAGCGCCACTCAAACAAAGTGCGCCCAGGACGCGTGGCAGTGTCGGTGAGCAACGCAGCACCTCGGCACGGCAGCGGCAGCCGCTGCTGCGCTCTTGCTAGAAGATCGTAACGGAGGGCACCGGGGCGAGATGATGAACACAAAACCCCAGCGTATGTCTCTCACCTTTGGACATGAGTCGCGCCGAGTGCGTGAAGGAGGTCGAGGAGGAAGGGAAGGAGGAGGCGGAGGATGAGGAGGAGGAGGAGGAGACGCAGGCGACGATGTCAGAGCGTAAAAGCCAGGGAGGAGGACGGCCGAGGGAGAGGACGGGGCAGGTGTAATCACATCGGCAGGCGGAGAGCGACGACTAATAAAGGTGCGTGAGTGGCGGCGGGCGTGGAGCCTCTCTCTGCGTGCATCCCTGAGCTCGCAACGCCGCGTGCGCACGGGGGGTACCACTCTCCGCCTCCTCCACCCCCCCCCCAGACCACCCTCCCCCCCCCCCCCGTAGGCCACCCCCAGCCCAATCAGCTTTCGCCTACCACGTAGGCACGACCGAGCGCGCGTTGTGACGGCGCGTGCCATTGGCTGGGGCGTTATCTATTTAATTCACTGATTCCCCCCCCCCAATACCCTGCATCGTGAATGCATGAGAAATGAGGACGCAATCGCTGCGAACCCGCGCTCTGATCACGACGGCTTGTCAATGCGTAAATGCGTAAATGCGTAGAGTTGTCAAGTCACGCGAATCGCGTCTCAATGCACAGCTGCCTCGCGTGTAAGGGAGTGTGGAGGCGTTGGATTGCGTTTGCACTCTCGATGCCTGCTGGCTTTAAACTTTAGATCTGTGGCTTAGTTAGATCAGCGCTAGCGACATTGACCGACGAGTTTGTCCAAATGCGGCGTGAACTTTGTTCCTCCCTGTGCTTTGGCTTGGTAGTGTGAGTCAGTTTGCTTTCACGACCCAATACGCCCGTGCGAGCGCGCGGCGCGGTTTTTTCTTCTTTTATTATTATTGAAATGACGCCGATGAATCTGCACTGTAATTTACTGCTTTACGCCAAAGGGAAAAAGAAAAAAGCAACAACGCGATCGAAAATCCAACTCACACATCCCGCGTTACTAAGCGCAGACAACTACTACGACTGCGCAAAAGCGCGTCAAGATCGTACGCAAACGTCCGTGCGCGTGTCCGTGTTTGTGTAAAAAATCCAATAGCAATTTTAATGATTGCTCTCCAGCGCAAAATTATCACAAGGTAGGTGATTTGTGACGCCGGAGATGATAGGTTGCGCGATGTCGCAGAGGTTTTTTTAATGCGTAATTTGCGCACGCGGACTCGCACGGACGATGCGAACCCCGACGTCGAAAAACAAACAAAAAAGAGATAATCGGCAGCTGCACTCTGTGAAGATGCCTCAAGTGAGAAAGCGCATCTCAATGTCAGCGCCGGGCCACGCAATGCAAAGTTTAAAGTCACGTGGGAGAGGTTACATTCGGTGCGGCCCAACTCTCTAATGATCTCGCGCGTGCAAAATTACGTTTTAATTATTATTACGACTGTTATTATTATTGTCGGATTAATTATATTGGATTATGTAATCGACCAGCGCAAAATGCGCGCAGAGTTCACGCGTGAGGCTTTGTAACGGCGGAACGGGAGTTTTTTTCCACTCTCGTCTCGAGGCGTTCAATTGTGTTCTTAAAACAATCTCAGTTAATGCATATATTGTTTTAAGTTTTAACCAAGGAACAGTTATTTTCTTTGAAAGCAAAACAACCGTACTCGTCAAGCCGAATAATCATCGCGTTCGGGCGCACCGTCTCTTATTAGCGAAGCGAAGATACACTCCGCGTCTTCTGCGTGCAAAACAAAACGCGCGCGTTTGGTCGAAGGTGCCAGTTACCGCCGAGACAAACCGCTTCACTTGGTCCAATTCAATCGTTCAGCGCGAAAAAACGCCGAGATGCAACTAACTTTGCGCGTTTTTCTTTTTTTGTGAAACTCGAGAAACCGCATTGCGCTCGCGAGCACACCGCCTCGTTTGATTCTAATAAGTTGCACGCACGCCGTTATCAAGACAGCATGTTGTATTATCCCTGTGTGTGTATATGTTACAAAGCGTTATCGTGTTTGTATTAAAACCTTAAACGCTTCTTCGACATCCCGAAAATGAACCGAACGGCAGATTCCCGCGTGCGGTGTCGCACTTCGGCAAAAGTGCCCTGGCCCGTACCGTAAAATCATTGGCGCACGCGGTGCGTAAATGTGCCCGCGCGTGCAGTGTGGACGCCGCAGTGCCGTGCCACGCCGCGACGTACCTCTCGTGTGCACACGGGTGCCGAGTTTTCACGCCGTGCAAGCTCCACGTCAAACGCGTTAGGCAGTCAACTGTGACCGCCGAACGGCGCGCGCTGCGTTAAGAACGGCGAGGTCGACCCGCGGAGTGCGCATGCATCGAGCCCCGAACGCAAATTCGTCGCGTGCCATTTTAATTATGTATAAATACAGCACTTAACAACTCGTGTGTGTAATATTAACAGTGGGGCCACGTATTGAAGGGCTTTGTAATTGCTCACTTGTATCTTTGGTTGTTGTTGTTGTTATTTAAAATCTCTTCCGAGGGAAGAAAAGTTGTTTCGTGAAAACTCGCGTGCGTGTTGAAGCAAAAGCGCTCGCAATTTAAGGTCATTTTGGGGTCAACTTTAATCCGTCACAATTCTCAGAAACAGGGCAATGATGTTACTTTTTGGTTTGTTTTGTATCGCCCCACGTCCCTCGTCTTATGATTTTGATCTCACTGATCAAACGACGAAATGTGCAGTGGGCACCTACCGCATTTATCTGCCCATGGATTGTGACGATGACATTCGATCTCTGCACGAAGGACATTACGCGAGAGTCTGACTCTGGTGCATGCAGTGAGTGACATCGTCGCAAGTGTTACGGCTCGTTGGTGATCACAGATTTAACTCGCGTACTCATTCAATCAGTAAACAACTTAACCAGCCCCCCCCACCCCACCCAAATAAAAATCCGAAGGTCGTACGACTCGACGCGCGCGATCGAGAAGCCACGGGCACACTCACCGATCATTTATTTGTGGATGTCAATCTTCGTGACCTACGAGGCGGCGTGGGGAGGCATTCATCCAGCAGTGGATTGGCAAAGGGCCGTGAATTATTCATCACTAACTTTATTTTTTTATAGCTTTTTGAGGGGCAGGGAGACAATGGCACGCATTTGTGATACTCGTAAAATATATATACACAAATATGACATTTACATTTTAGCTACAGACGTTGTGTGTGCCAGTTGATTGTCTGGCGTCTATTTCAACCTTCAACAGAATGTACCCACAGTTTATTCAACTTTACACGTAGCTACTCATGATTGAATTTTTTTATGTGATTCAACTTATAATGAACACAGTAAACTAAGTTATTTAATGAAGAACGCCTCAATGCTCTTTTTCATGAGGGATGTTCAGCAACTTCATTTTCATTTTTAAATCGCGTGTTTTGCGATATGCCGGACGAAACAGGAGAATCCAGATACAACTCAACGGACATTCAAAGGGGAATAACAATGACACCTCCACACAGACGGCATCACAACCCACTTGCTCTACTGCCCTATGTTGACCAAACAACAAACTCGTCCTCACGCACTCACTCACGCACTCACTCACGCACTCACTCATTCACGCACTCACTCACGCACGCACACGCTCACTCACGCACTCACTCACGCACTCACACGCTCATGCACTCACTCACTCACGCACTCACTCACGCACTCACTCACCCACGCACACGCTCACTCACGCACTCACTCACCCACGCACTCACTCACGCACACGCTCACTCACGCACTCACGCACGCACTCACTCACGCACTCACTCACTCACGCACACGTTCACTCACGCACTCACTCACGCACTCACTCACGCACACGCTCGCTCACGCACTCACTCACGCACTCACGCACACGCTCACTCACCCACGCATTCACTCACGCACTCACTCACGCACTCACTCACCCCACGCACTCACTCACTCACTCACGCACTCACTCACTCACTCACGCACGCACACGCTCACTCACGCACTCACACGCTCATGCACTCACTCACTCACGCACTCACTCACGCACTCACTCACCCACGCACACGCTCACTCACGCACTCACTAACCCACGCACTCACCCACTCACGCACTCACTCACTCACTCACGCACTCACTCACTCACGCACACGCTCACTCACGCACACCACCAGCATCCTCGACCCAACCTAGACGATCGAGACGGCGCGAGCAACAAGCGCTCTCGCTTGGACCACCTTTTACGCACGCGCCGCCTCGACGGCAGAAGCCTCGATAATCGAGGCACCTTGCTCTCTGCACCCCACCCACCCCCTGCGCACCCCTCCCTCTGCCCCGCACGATGCTCACCACCCCCCTCCACTCGGCAAACCATCTTAGCTCGCTGCCACCTTCGTTGCGTGGACGCAGGGCCGAGCGCCAGACGCGACCGTGCCGAGCACCGTTTATTATTCATGAGACGGGCGCGGCACCGCGCGGGCGGCCGAGCCCCTCCCTCGCCCCCCTCGCCATCTGGCCCGGTCCGGACCGAGAGCGGCGCGGGATCCCCCCGGCCCTGGCCAGATGAGCTCGCCAGCCGGCCCGCTCTGTGCACCACGCAGCCTCCGAGCCCTTCGGGCGAGTGAGTGGGCGAGCGGGCGAGCAGGCGGGCAAGCAGGCGGGCAGGCTGGCAGGCAGGCGGGCAGGCGGGCGGGCAGTAACACGGGACACGGGTCTCGGGCAAAAGCTGCTTGATGTGCCCCCGTCGCGCTGTTTGTTGATGGAGAGGAGACCCGGGATGTTGCGCTGTTCTCTTGTAGGGGGTGCGGAGTAGTAGGAGGAGGGGGAGGAGGAGGAGAGGCAGTTGACGGGGTGGTTTGGAACGCGAGGAGATGGCAGTGGGGGCGATGATGACTCGTTTCGTTTCGGATGTGGCGGTGGTTGCTGGTGGTTGGTGGTGGTGGTTAGACATCCGTTCGCACTCAATGAGTCAATAGGAGGATTTGCAAACCGCGGAAATGTTACGACGGCACTCAAGTGCAGCTTGCCCAAGATCTGTTTTGCTAGAGTGTGCCATAGAGTCTTGCGTAACGTCTGTTTACCGCAATAAGCAACCGAACCCTGCGCGTGCAGGGGTGGGAATCGGGTGGCGCCAAGGCGTTTAAATAGTGGTCAGTCACCGAGAAACTGTGGCTACTGACATACCTTGAAGACTTTGCCTGATAAACGTGAAACATTGGCGTCACTGACCCAGTCGTGTTCGTTACACGCGTTCGATAGACGCGTCGACAGAGATGT